GCTCCCTGCTCTGCACACCCCAGGCATACAGGGAATATGTAGGTAGAAGACAGAGTCACTCAGAGGGCTATCTGGGTGGCTCAGTCAGTTAAGCATCTGACTCTTAATTTCAGCTCAGGTCATGATCTCACAGTTCATGAGATTAAGCTGTCAGCACAAAGTCTGCTTAAGGTTCTTTCTCTCTTCTCTCTCTGCCCCTCCCTCTGCTTGTGTGTTCTCTTTCTCTCTCAAAATAAATACATATTTTAAAAAATAACAAAAAAGAAAGTCACCAGAATCTTTTCTTTATAAGAAATCTGAGGTTCCAACCATCTTAATTTCAAACAAATCAACATCTTTTTTTCTAGAGAAGCAGGGACTTAATTAAGGCTCCTCAGAATCTTTTTCAGGCTTCCTGTTTATTGGTGATCGTTTCAGTTGGTGTGGAATTTATAATATCACCAGACCATCAATACAAAACAAGTTCTCTTTTTTTTTTTTCAATTTGTTTTCAAATCAAGTCCTTTCAATGAAAAGTTTATCTAGATAATCAAAATAGCCAAGGTGCAATTCACTATGCTACAGCCATGGAGAGAACACAAACAGAACACAAGGAGTGAAGGCTGTGCCATCTTTCTCCAGAGCACAGAGCTAGTGAGAATATTAACACTGATCATAATAGCACTGACACTATGCAGGCACCCTTCCAAGACACCAATTATTGCTGCATCCATCCTAATGATCTCAAAACCAGAAAGGTTTCCCTGATAACCTAGAACATCCCAGAATTAATTCTTGCATCTTCTCATGTGGGGGGATCTGTGTAAGGGAAAGTGATTGAGAGCATGGGCTCTAGATCCAAATAGCCTAGATCCAATCAAGGTCAAGGTGATTTACACATCTTAGCCTTACATACTTCATCTCTAAAATAAAAGTAGGGGGTCCTAGGTAACTCACTCAGTTAAGCATATAGTTTTTTTTTTTTAATGTTTTATTTATTTCTAGGAGAGAGAGACAGCGTGAGCAGGGGAGGGTCAGAGAGAGAGGGAGTCACAGACTGAAACAGGCTCCAGGCTCCGAGCTGGCAGTCAGCACAGAGCCAGACGCGGGGCTCGAACCCACAAACCGCGAGATCATGACCTAAGCGAAAGTCGGAAAGTCGGACGCTTAACCGACTAAGCCACCCAGGCGCCCCGAGCATATAGTTTTTGATTTCAGCTCAGACCATGATTTCACAGTCATGAGATTGAGCCCTACATCAGGCTCTCAGCTGGGTGTGGAGCCTGCTTAAGATTCTTGGGATGCCTCGGTGGCTTAGTTGGTTAAGCATCCAACTTTGGCTGAGGTCATGATGTCATGGTTTGTGGGTTTGAGTCCCATGTCAGACTCTGTGCTGGCAGCTCAGAGCCTGGAGCCTGCTTCAGATTCTGTGTCTCCCTCTCTCTCTGCCCCTCCCCTGCTCATGCTCTGTCTCTGTCTCTCAAAAATAAATTAAAATGTTAAAAAAATTTTAAAAAGAAAAACAGATTCTCTCTCTCTCTCTCTCTCTCTCTCTCTCTCTCCTCTCTCTCTCTCTGCTCCTCTTCCCCTGGTTTGTGTTCTCTTTCAAAACAAATGTAAAATAAAATAAAAGTATATACCTCTCTCTTTCAAAAAAAAATGTAAAATAAAACTATCAATGTGAGGGTTAAAAAGGTGCTAACATGATTAAAATGCTTTAAACAGAGCCTGGCATATAAGTATTTACTAAACATCAACTATGGTGATGATAATAAGACCACATAGCAGGCCCCATCACCAAGCATCACTACCAACATACAGAACCGTGATGGAATTATGCAAATGAGGATGAAGGCTTACTCGTACCACCACAATGAACAGTTCAGTATAAAGGGAACAGAGTTTGTCATTTTTCCTAGCTTGTTTGTTGCCTTTTACCACATAAGGAAGGCTTACAGATAGATGGGGGGTGAAGGGGTGGGGAGGGTCAGAAAGCACAGACCTCACAACATTGTATTCTCTCTCCCTCTCTCCATTTCTTCTCAAAATCACTCATCCACCCTCCATTCCTGAACTTCCACTAGGGAACCTCCAACCTCCCCCAAAAGATGGAGGTTTCCAGACTTGAGCCCTCAAGCTTGATCAGGAGGCAAATGGAGGCTTGCCTCTGCCCACATACTGCCAAGCCCAAAGGCAAAGCAGTAAACTGGTCCCAGAATAGGGAGGGTAGCAGGTGCTCTCATTCCTGCCCAGCCTCCCACTGAAAAGAGCTATAATGAACCTGTCTCTCACTAGCTACCTAAGAAGAATGCGACCACGCTAAGGTGGGCACTGTTTCTGGAGATATCTTTCACTACTCTCCCTAATCCCATATCAGGAAAGGATATTCCTCCTGTGAACATGACTGACCCTGAGCTTCTCCTGATGAACACTGGCTGACTATGACTCCCCCAAACCTCTCAAGGTGTGTGTGAGTCTGTGTGGGGGTGATGGGTAGGTAGGTAGGTAGGTGGGAGAAGAGTTCATTCTCCATTCATCCTGCCTCATCTCTGATCTCTGATCCTGCATCCAGAAAAGAAATGAAGCTAAGAGAAGGTAAGTATCTAGCGTAAGGTCACAAAGCCTTGTAACCAGGTAAGCTTGAGGCTAAACCCTTTGTTCTCTTCCTCACAACATGTTTCTTCCCCTGCCTGACATTTAAGAGTAAAAGCAGAACCCATAAACTCTTATAAAAATGCTTAAAACATGACTGTCCCCAAAGAGTTGGTTTCCCTTCATGGACACAGCCTTTATGCACTGAATTGCTAGCAGAGAAGACAGACATGGAGAAGGGCCCAAGCTTAGGAAGTCTTCCAGCAGCTTTTCAGAGCACTTGGCTAAACACCATGAGCCTGATCTACATTACTCTTTCCCAGCGAGGTAACGCCAAAACATTTGGTCCCAACTTCATTCTGAGAATACCAATTTGTCCACTTCAACACAGCTGCCCTTTCCCAAGATTTATCTCTATTTCTAGTTTCCTGAGTCAAACCTTAGGGCTCCTGCATCCTGAAAATGGCCATGTTCTGCCCATAGCCTGTCCACACCAAGGGTTTGGCGAAAGCCAGTGGAACATGCAGTAGCTAATAGAATGTCCCCCTGTGACCTCAAGCTCCCTTCTTGGCTCTGAAATAAGCTCTGCTCCAGCCAGCAGCTACTTTCTTTTTTTTATTTGCTTTTATAATTTTAAAATTTATATACAGTAAAATTAACTCTTTTTAAAGCAGAGTTGTGAGTTTTGACAAATGTCTACAGTCATAATCACCACCAAAAACAGGATACAGAACAATTCCTTTACACCTAAAACACTCCCTAGTAATGTTCATTTGTGGCCAAATCTTCCCTTCACCCTTAATCTGGCAACTACCAACTATTTTCTGTCCCTATTTCACCTGTTCCAGATGGTACATACATACAATTGTATGGTATGTAGTTTTTTGAGTCTGGCTTCTTTAACTTAACACAAAGCAATAGAGATTCATCCAAGCCTTTTTCAACAGGAATAGTTCATCTTTTTATTGTTGATTACCAATCCAATGTATGAATTCCCCAGAGCTGGCTTATCAGATTCACAAGTTGAACAACATTTGGATGGTTTGAGTTTTTCAGGCTACTCTGGATAAAGTTTCTATAAATATTTGCATCCAGGTTTAATGGAAACCTGTTTTCATTTTCATTCAGTAAACACCTAGGAGTGGGGTTGATGATCATAGGATAAATGTATGCTCAATTTAATAATAAACTGCCAAACTTTTTTCAGAGTGGCTGCATTCTTTGTCATTTCTATCAACAAATGTGTGAGAGTTCCAGCTGCTTCATATCCTCATCAGCACTTGGTATTGTCATGTTGTTTTCATTCCTTTCTCTCTCTTTTCTCTCCCAGTTCTCTCCTGAGAGTAGACCCACTTATGAAGCTGCTTATACAAAGATACTACCAAGAAAATGATGGGGCTCCATGGACCCACATGAGGCCACAGGATGACAAGTCCATGGCCATTTACAGGGTCAAGAACAGCAGAGCTGTTTGGCCTCGGCCAAAAAGAGGCAGGACACACCATGGGTAATGAAATTCAGAAAATGTCTAGGTTTGAAGCTCTCCCAACATATGAGGTTAGGGACATTTCCTTATGCATTCTTATGCACTTCTACACCTCCTAACACGATGTCTTATTCCTAACCTACACCTACATAAATACCTTCACTTGGATTTCTGGACTTTCACATATTTTTCAGAGCATGTGGGCTGCCCCACTCATAAATGATGCATAAATGGACAACTTCACTTGTAGGTATGGGCAGTAGTCCTCAATGTCCAGCTGGAGCCAAGGTACAGAAGTCCAGAATATACAACAAGTTCTAAAATGGTGGTTACAGGGGCGCATGGGTGGCTTAGTCGGTTAAGCGTCCAACTTTCACTTGGGTCATGATCTCGCGGTTCGTGGGTTCGAGCCCCGCGTCGGGCTCTGTGCTGACTGCCAGCTCAGAGCCTGGAGCCTGTTTCAGAGTCTGTGATTCCCTCTCTCTCTGACCCTCCCCTGCTCATGCTGTCTCTATCTCTCTCCTAGAAATAAATAAAACATTAAAAAATAAAATAAAATAAATAAAATGGTGGTTACAAACTCTTTGCAAGTCATAAACTTTTGAGAACCTTGTGGAAGTTCTGAACCCTACTGCTAGAAAAATAAAGAAATAATCCACACACACAAAAGAAAGAATCCTTGAAGCCTTCCGTAGACCCTACTTAAGAACCATTTTTCAAAAAGATCTATGTGTTTAATAAACAGGAGGTCATTTCTCCCACTATCCTGCCCTTCTGGGCTAAGGAAAGGGATCTGGGGACTCCTCCGTAGTGAAACCATGAGGATGACACTTAAGTGGTTTTGTCAATCATATCAGTTTCCTAGGGCTATCATAACAAAATACCAGACTATTTATTGTACTGCTGTAGCTTACACAACAGAAATTTATTTTCTTACGATTCTAGAAGTCCAAGATCATGGTGTTGGCAGGGCTTCTTCTAATGCCTTCCTGCTTGGCTTATTGATGGTTATCTTTCTCCAGTGTCTTCACACTGTCTTCCTTCTGTGAATGCATGAAATTTTCAAACATTTTAAACACACACATCACATCACAGCTGCTACAGAAATCTCAGAATACCATTTTTGTGCATCACTATTTTGAAATTATGTTACTAGATCCAATGGTATATCTTATTTAATGCATTAATGAAGGGCACATATATTGCTATATTACATTTTTTATCTTAACTATATATCAATAAATAAAGTCTCCTCTGCAATACTACACACATTACTTAAAATTTTTAAATATTTTTCTGAGGACATTATAGGCTTATTCAACTGCCAGCAAGTCCACACCATAAAAAATTAACCCATTGATTAGAGCAATATATGGGTTTATTTACTTCCAACCCTCACCACTAGGCCACTTAATCTCCACTGGAAGGTTCAAAACTACCCCAGACTCTCATTTCAGACATGTTCTAAAGGGAAAATGATAAGTTCAGGAGTCCATCAGTTGAGCACAAGTTGATCTTGTTGCAAGTCTTGTTTTTTCTTTGAATTGTGGGTTTCCTGTAACGAGATTACTGCCTGATCCCACAGTTCCTCTGTGACTCAAACTTTGCCCAGCCACTGAGCCCCTGCTATGAAAAATGCAAAAGACCTCCTCTAAATTCTAATAGCCAACATTTCTAGGGTAATGAGTTGAGAGACTTGTGTTTTGACTATATTTTCTTCTATCAAAAGCTCTAATGCTGAATGGCTGCCAGGAGACAGGCATGAGGCATCATGGATTAAATCATGAAATGGCAGCCAACTTTTCCCAATCTCTTTTTCATCAGAAAAATTTTCTAGCTGACCACATTCACAAAGATCACTGGCCCTTAATCACGTTCAGTGTAAGGCTTCCAAAGAAACTAAAGTTGTATGAAGGAGAGGTTCGAATCAACCACCATCTTTTCCTTCTCAGGGTATTTGAGGGACAGATTAATGTAACTCCTAGAAGACAAAGCTGAGAAGAGCTATCAAACGATCTCCTAACTTGTAAAACAATGCTACTGTGGCTCTGAATAACCCACATGAAGAAAATCACAAAATCAATCATAGATATGCCAAAGAAAAGATGAAAATAAACTTCGTTACCAGATAAGCAATCTGGAACTTAAAGGAACAAATGGAATGTCCGCCAAGGAAAAGCTCTTGGTTTCCATATGTAAAGACTTTCTTCTGAAGAACCACTAGTTCTGAGGTTCTTCTTATCTATGAAAAGACTAAGACTCTTAATAGCATATTAGTAAATCTTTGAAGAATCCTGAGGAAAAAGTCAGAATGTAGCCAAAGGGAGATAATTTAGGTATCATGCTCATAACAAGACTTGTTGGAGTCACAAAGAAGGCTTTTCAGACACTAGTCCCCTCTGATACCCTCTCAATGAACCACAGCGTTGCTGAATTAAGTAAGAAGATGTGTTTTGGATTTATTTATTTCCCCTAAAAAACTCATATTTGGCTCCAATATAAATTACTACTAGGTTCTTTTTTTTTTTTTAATGTTTTATTTATTTATTTATTTTCTAATTTTTTTAAATGTGTTATTTATTTCTAGGAGAGAGAGAGAGAGACAGCGTGAGCAGGGGAGGGTCAGAGAGAGAGGGAGACACAGATCTGGAACAGGCTTCAGGCTCTGAGCTAGCTGTCAGCACAGAGCCCGACGCGGAGCTCAAACCCACAAACCATGAGATTATGACCTGAGCTGAAGTTGGACGCTTAACTGACTGAGCCACCCAGGCGCCCCCTACTAGGTTCTTTACCATAGAGCTCATACAGATTTTAAGCATACAAGTCATGCTAAGAAGTAACACCTGACCTACCAGGGAGTTACCTGGCTTATTTCCATACGCATGCTAGAATTAAACGGTATATGATGTGAACATACAGCCTTGCGTGTTTTTGGTCTGCGTGGAGTCCTGCTTTTGCTTCCAGTTCCTCAGGAACTCTGATCCCTCAAAGAAACCATTTCTAAACTCACCTTTGAACAATGTTATCAACTACTGCTGATATGAGGCTCACTACATTTCCTCAGGTTCCAACTTCTTCACAGAGGCTACTCACATGAAAACCAAATTGTTTCCCCTAGATAGTCCCTTTTCTTTTGTCCAACTGTCATACTGACACATATGCCTGGAGTAAGCCATGATAACAAATAAACTCTGTCCCAAAGAGTTTCCAGGAAATAACCATTAATGCTGCCCTGAAAAAGACATGTATAGGAGCCCATATATTGTAAAGACTTGTAAATAATAAAATGTATTTTTAAAAATTCGTCAGGTATCTGTGGTTCTCTGGCATCTTGTCTTCTCTAGCCCAGCCAACCTCTCAAAAGTCCCAGTGATTTTGGCAATTGTTCTTAAACTTAACTACACATCAGATTCATCTAGAGAGATTTTTTTTATTTCAGTACCCTGAACGTAGCTTAGAGCAATTCAGTCAGAATAAGTGGGACCTGCATGTACATCAGTATTTTTCTTACCTTTCTAGATGATTCTAACATGCAACCAAGCTTGAGAACCACACCTAGAAGCCAGTGAGATTTTAGAAGTTTGCCCAATGACATGGAGAGTAGCCCCAAGGCATGGCTGCCCTCTCAGAGACAAGGCATGGCTGCCCTCTCAGAGACAACAGCCTGAAAAAAATCTTCTACCCTGGTTACAGATTCCCAGTGGCCAAGTGCCCCATGGTCTGGACCATCCAGCTACTCATCTGGGTCATACATTTTAGGTGAAGCCCAAACTATGCAACGGGGGGATAGGAGAAAAGGTGGGAAATCCACTAACTGGTGACGGAAAGCACATACAGGGCTTAGTTTTTACCCTCCACAACAGCTCCAGACACCATGGCCACATTGTGGCATTTTTTTTCCCCTACTCAAAATTGTCTTTGATACTCATTGTAGCCCAACTTCTCACATATAAATAATATTTCTATAGGGAACAGAAGCTACTTATTTTCCACAATGCCACTGATGCCGAGAGAGTCTTATCCTAAGAGATAAATCCCCTTAGAGCCAAGCCAATCAAATTAATTTAAAGCAAATTATTCTTAAGAAGACAAGTCTTATATTTGCCAAGGTTTCAAACTGCTTGAGGAATTAAAAACTAAGTAAAACTAACCTAGACTCCCTTCCCTTAGTGAGCTGAAAATAGCTCTTGAAGTATTTTTCAAGAATGAAAGAAGAAGCACCAACCTACATAGAGTACTGAGTAGCATCAATGGCTGATTTTCACAACCAGTTAGAGCCCTAGAGGAATAAGGGCCAGGCTCTAATTGCATTTTGTTCCATTTTGAGGCCACAGGCTGTGCCCTAGTCCCTGGCCATGTGCTCAACAAAGGCAAGACATTTCCTTGCAGGACAAAGTGAACAAAGAGATACTCAGTCCTCCAGAACTTATAGATGAGTCATTAAAGATTTGAACTAGTGATAAAGACACATGAGTGGCTCAGTCCTTAAGCATCCAACTCTTGATTTCAATTCAGGTCATGCTCTCACAGTTCATGAGAGAGAGTCCCAGCACAGAGCCTGCTTGAGATTGTCTCTCTCCCTCTCTGTCTGTCTGTCTGTCTGTCTCCCTCTCTCTCTCTCTCAGAATAAATATATAAACTTAAAAAAAATTTTTTTTAAAGATTCCAAGTGATAGCCTAAAACACACAGGGGAAATGCCCAGGTAGATAAATCCTTGCATTTTAAAATAATATATAGGGGCACATGAGTGGCTCATTTGGTTAAGTGTACAACTCTTGACTTCAGCTCAGATCATGATCTCACAGTTTGTGGGTTCGAGCCCTTTATCAGGTTCTGCAGTGAGAGTGCAGAGCCTGCTTAGTATTCTCTCTCTCTCTCTCTCTCTCTTTCTTCTTCCTCTTCTTCTTCTTCTTCTCCTTCTCTCTCTCTCTCTTAAAATAAATGTTAAAAAATTACTAAGACTATATATTTATTAAAAAGTAATAATAATATATAAATACAAGAATAAAGCTGAAGGTACTATATATATATATATGTGCCAAAACCAGTGTGTATGCATCATTCCTTCTCTTTTTTATAATGGAAAAGGTGCCCCCATTCTGGGGCTAATTCATCCACAGATGATCTGGAACTTTCCCCCCTCTCTCAGGGGACTGCCTGTCTCTAGACACCTATCTCATAGCTTGACTTCTCCCTACCAGCTCCCTTTCAGTTGCATCTAAACACTCTCAAGCTTCTCTTAACTTTAAAAATTTAACTAGAAAGAATAAAGAAAAGAACTATAAATTTGCTGTCTCCCCTGTGCCTTTCTGGCCACTGCCCTGTCTCACTGCCCTCGCACATTCATCCACCTGTTCACCTCCTACTCACTCATCAGCCCGCTGAAATCTGGCTTCGTTCACCAATTGGTCTTCTTAAACTGCTATTGCCAAAATAAACAACACCCCTCCCTTTGTAAATCCCAAAGGAAACTTTCCATCTCTATTTCCCTTGACCTCTAACTTGCACTAGACATATTTGACCACTACCTCTTGAAACCTTCTCTCCTGGACTCCACTTGCCCATTTTTCTCTTGCTTCTCTGGTTGTTTCTTCTCTCTATTGGCCATTGACCTTCCCCTGCCCTTATTTGATATATTTCATTTCTCAGGGATCTGCCCTTGGTATAATTCTCACTCCACAGCTTCTTAGTGGACGAATCCTCATGGCTGAAATTATTACCACTGTATTTACTTTCAAACCTCTATTTATAGGCCTGATATTTCTGCAGAGTTTCAGATATGAATATCCTGCTGTGTTCTCAACTTCTCCACTTGATCTCAGAGACACATCAGGCTCAACATGTCCAAAATGAAATTCACTCTTTCCTCCAAAGCTGTTCCTCTTCTTATGCTCCTTGTGTGAGAAAATGGCACCACCATATAACCGGTTGCTTAAGTTAGAAAAACTGGCATCATCCTTGTCTTCTTTCTTTTCTTTAGTCTGTCCATGTATTAAGTTACCAAGTCCTACTGATTGTATCTGCTAAATAATGTTTTCAGTC